GCTCCCCCCCGCACCACCCCGAGACCCCTTCTCGGACGCGGGGACGCGTGGCACCGGTACCGACCCTTCCTGTAGATCACGGCGTTGGCGTCGGAATCTCCGGGCACGAGGGGCAGCCGGGACAGCCAGCAGCTCTCGTCCCCCAGCACCAGCGTCACGGGTGGGCTCTGTCAAAGGGCAGGGAGAGGGGGGTGAGCACCGCTCCCCAAAACGGGGCTGGGGTCAGGGTGGGGGGGCTGGCGGTGGCAGGGTCGCGGTTCTCCCCGCTCAGCCTGCGCCCGGCTCTGCCTTCCCGCATCTCTAATGAATATTAATGAGCAGAAGGGAGGGGGGGGTGGAAATTAATCTGCCTGATCCTCTGATGGCTGCTGCGGTAACGATATGAAATCTAATTATTCGTCCCAATATTTCTAAACCCTCCAACTCAGCCTGACAGTCGCAGCCGGTTGAGGCCTTATCACCGCCAGGAGCCGAGTGCCGGCAGCGTGATAAACCCCACGCGCACGCGCGTGCAGGCGCTCGCACACGCGTGTGCACGCCCCGGGGGGTGCACAGGCAGAGCCCGCACGCTGCTGCTGCTGCAGGAAAACCCACCCGCCCCTGCCGAAAGCGGGTGGGAAATGGGGCTGGGGGCTTAGGGACCCCCCCCTGCATGGGATGCAGGGATGGGTGCTGCTGGTGGCACATGGGCTGAGCTCCCCTGGGGACCGTGGTGGCCCCTCCATGTCCCGTGCCACGGCTGGGAGGAAGAGGAGGGTCTCTGGCAGAGCTTTTGCAGATTTGCTCCGTGCATGGGGGGACCTCTGGGTGCTCCCAGCACCCCGAAGGCGGTCCCAGCACCCCAGGGTGCCTGCCCTGGCTCCCCTTGGTGGCCCCAGCCTCTGCGCCGAGCCCTTCCTTGTTCTCCCTGGAACAAAGAGGTCAGTGTCTCCGCTCTGCACCGGCCCGATAACCATCGGAAACCCTATCTGCTTCGCATCCGCCGGGACGGTGTTATCGGGACGGCCCCATGCCCTCGCTGTCCCCCGCCGTGGGCATCGCCCCAGGGCTGGGCGGCTGGGGGGGGGGGAGGG